ACTAACATACACTGACGCATACAACTACAAGCAAACACAAACAAAATGGCGACACACTCACAAACACTGTGAACAAATGAATAAACAAACGCACAGCGCTTGTATACACGCACAGACACGTGCGTCATCTTCAAAGGGAGGTGTGAAAGAACACACCGTCACTCCGCCCTGGCCTATCCCTCCTACTCCCGCCCACCCCCGACTCCCAATATATGTTCAAAGGCCATCCATTAACCTTTCACTCACACAGTCCTCTCTGTGATCTACTGCTCTCAGCCAAGGGCTTTGAAGACACAGCATCCCCCAGCACCAGCGACTGAACCAGGATGGCAACAAACAAGAGAAAGGCAGAAAGCGGCCAGAGAAGTGAAAGGAAGGAAGCTGCAATGACAAGAGATAAGCACTGTTAAGAGAAGAGAGCAGACAAGGGGCAAGGGAAGGAAAACAAAGACGGGGGAGTGATAGTCTGGGACGAAGGTTAAGGGAAAGACGAAGAAGGTGGAAAACATGGTGGGGATGGTGGCAGCAAGGAAAACGGGGCAGAAAGAGGGGGTCAATAGAAAGTGGGGCTTTATGTCCACATCACGACACAGAGTAAGCTGAGGTGTCAGTGGAGAGAAGGCAGAGAGATTGGATGAAAATCGAAGGTGTGTGAGAGCAGTGAGAGGCGCAGATTGTTGCTACAAAGATAGGGATGCTACAAAGGCTTGAAAATACACAAGAGGGAAAAAGAGGTTTACAGGAGTTCTTTATTACAAAATCCAGATGATATGCAGCAATATTCACAAGCCGCTAGATTAGCAATTAGTGTCAGCGAAGGCTGTTGATTTCCTCTTTGCAGAGAAAAACATAGTAAAACATATTAAGAGGTCACATTCAGACAAAATGAGACTGTTTAGTTGCCAATAAAAACAAATACACAACCAGACAGTCTTGTGGTTTTGGTCTTTTGTTTTATTTGTCTGTATATTTCTAAATTAATACATTAAAAGTTAAACACAAGATATTTGTCTCTCTGCTATACTTGTAGCAACACATCTGCTGCAAGTGTAAACTTTACAAAACACATATTAAGCAATATAATATGCTGCTCAGGGAATTATTCCGAACTGAGAAGCCAAGTGTTCAAAGCAAGGTTAGCAGCCCTACTGCTTTATTGCCTCCTCTCGAAATATTATTGCTACAAGCCCGTCAGAGAATCAATTCTTATGAATTAGTGAGTAGGTCGCAGTTTTGAAATGATCATTTTAATATTACAGTATTGAGGGACTTGAAGAATATTCGCTCGCTCTCTACAAAATTCAAAATTGGATGTGGTTTCAGGTCAAGTATTTTTTCAAATCTTCACTCAGAATTTCAAATTGGGGGTTGAGCAACACTTAGACCCACAATAGCTGTCAGCTCCGTCATAGAAAAAGCACCTGGCCTGTAAAGGCATGGTGAATTCTTCATGTCGCCCGCCATGAAAAATAACTACCCAGCTCTGCATTATAGAAACCAGAATACTGCATTGAGATCAGTCCCCATTCAGACATTCTGTCACCATCCAAGGACAGTCAAGAGATGAGAGCACTTTGTGGAGAAGATGTGTAAAAACAGCTAGTCCACCATCCTTAAATAATAGCTTGGGGAGAAGGCACAGAAGAAAAAAGCCATGGAGAGGAGGGGAAGACGGATAAAAATGTCTGCGTGTGCACTAAAGGACCAGGGGCCTTCCACGCGACTGATCTGAGAGCAAAGGCTTAAATCCAGGGAAGATGAGAAGAGATTCCACCAGTCAGTCGGCTCTGGCATCCTGATATGATTGTCACACACATGCATGTAAACAAATGCTCACGCACCCCCATCTGGACACGGGAACACATATAAACACAAAGAGCCAATAAGATTCGACAAACACAAGGACTGCGCACTCATGAACACACTGCAAACACACATACATAACACTTACAAATTCACACACACCACATGTATTACAGACCAAAAGAACCCACAAATAGCCTTATTATGGTCTGAGCTGCCACTGCTGGTGCACATAAATACAGACACACATACAGAACGCACACATGCCGTTGTGCTTGTGCTAAATAAAAGCTCTGTGTCAGGACATCATCATGTACGGCGCAGCTGCCTGCAATGCCTGCCACATTAAGCAAGCCTAATGGGCTTTCAGATCAACAACACTGCGTTTGGGTTGTACATTCTCGAGCGTTCTGTGGAATCAGCGGGACGTTCTGTTTGTCAGGGTATGCGTGTCAGTCTGTCAGGTAGCCTGCCGGGACGGGCAAGTGGAGGAGTTGTGTATAAACTGCTGTGAATATGACAATATTTGCCTGGGTTTGTAAGAGTTTGCATTCATGAATGAAATTATTGCGTTTGTTTCACTCCGCCACAGCATTTCAAAGAGAAAAAAGTGAAGTGAACAGTGATTTAAAAGGTTGAATAGTCACTGCATGACACAGACAGAACGGAGCAGGTAAGGAGTATGTGTACAAAGCTCATGCTGGTTAGGAACATTTGCATTTAAGAGCTGCTTCCAGGGGAGAATATATGTGCATGTGTTCAGGCTAAATATTAAAGTGTGCAGCCAGGAGTAAAGTGAGGTTAAAGCACAGCAGATTAGTGGGGACACCGAGGAAGCGCAGGGGTACACATTAGACTGTGAAGCCATGTGTGATGATCCTGCAGGTTTCCAAATTAGCTCTGATTAGCCCGAGAGTGATTTCAGCAGCTCTCGTCACTTCAAAACTCTGCCCTCATCCTAAAATTCTACTTCCTCCTTCTCTTTTATTCCCTGCTTCTCCAGTCACACTACATTAGAGACGAAACATCTCAGCCAAAATTCGACTGTGAGACATTATAAGCAGCTAAAAAACGGTGTGGGGGTGTTTGAGAGCACGTGTCAGTCTGTAGTCCTGGTTTCATTAGAACAAAAAGATTTCAGTAATTTAATTAAACCAAATGTTGTGCATGTGCGAATACAGATAACAGTCAATTGATTATTAATGCCTCATTAATACTCCCGCATTGTCAGGTCACATGGATAGACTCATTTTCACACAAGCTCCCACACACAAACACAAAGCAACACAGTGTCAGAGGCCAAAGGTGTCTGATGGAACAGAACGTGCGCTGCTCAAAACCATTGTTATGAAAGCAGCCAAATTGAAATGAAAAAAGAAAAAAAGAACCTACTCAAATTAAAACCACATCTGGTCAATCAGAGCTTACATGGAGGGACTGATAAAACCAACGTGCACACGCACACACACACACACACACACCCTTCAGTTTCTTCAAATCTTCCTGCTTCGTCACTAGCTCCTCCCTGTGGCAAAACTGACTCTACTTCTCTAACGCCCCTCCTCCTCCTCATCATCATCGTCCTAGCTGTCCATCACCCAGCGGCTGGTTGGCACAGAGCTGACTGAGAGCGTACAACAGATGGTGCGATGCTGTCTGTGCAGCAGGCCACAAGCAGGACACCCAACAGCCAACAGTGCCTCCTTTCCGTCCTCGGCCCTTTGACTCCCAATGCAATCCCTGCTCCTTCCCTGCTACACATCCTCCGATGCACATACACATGGGCTCTAAGTTTCTTTTTCATTTCTATACCACGTAACCTTTTGGGTTATTACAGGAACAAACCCATGCACCAGTCAAGATTACACTACATGCATGAAAACAAAGAACAATAAATAATTGGTTGAATAAGGGCAAGAACCCATTTAGATGCATGTGAGCTTCTCCCTTTAGAGTCAGATGAGACCTGTATGTGTTTTATATGAGGTCATCACTTCCAAGACATGTGACACCCTGATTCACTGAAATACTTGCAGGAAGGGAAATTGCATTCACATAATGGCTCAAGGTCTACACAGGAGGAGTGACATTAAAGCAGATTACAGCTTTGTTTCGTTGATGAAAATAACAATAAAAATAACAATGATTCAGACCCAGGCGATGTTCCTGCTGAGCAGGACTCAATTGGTAGAAGACATGTTTGAAGAAGAGGATGAAGTGGGGGGATCTCAGTGAGTTTGCCGCTTTATTCGTTTTTCAAACAATGTTCTATAACTTTAGGGAAAAGGCAGATATTTACAATGAAGGTTTAAGCTATCAAATGGTGTTTTTTTTAATAATGTCTCGATCTGCTTCAGAGGCTGAAGTTTTTGTAAACGTTGGCAACTCTGTCAGCTCCTCAGAAAACCCTCAGGTATGTTGGTTTTCACGCAACGCTCAGGATTTTGAGCATGTTTGTATTCAGCACCTTAGGTCTTAATTTGAAATGTATGAAAACATCATGCTGCTTAAAATGGTAAAAGGAAGCTGCAGGTTCATCGACAAGGTCAAACACCCAATAAAAACACAACATGGTTTTGATAACTTTAAGGGTGTAAGTACTACTAACAACTGCAACAAAACATGAACAGTTCGGATGCATGCACACAGACAACCCCCAACGTCACTTTAGACCAATCAGGTCACCTGCCAGGCTTACAACAGCAAGCACACACACACACACACACACACACACACAAAGTAAAATTGTATGGTACATGGCACATTCAAGGAGGTCACACATATGGCACCATTACATGCACGGATTCCCCCTCATACTCTCGCTACGCTCCGACTGACATCAAGATGACAAGAAATTTTATTGACATTCACACATACACTCTTCACCTCGTGGTCTCCTGTAGAGACAGTTTGGTTAATAAAGTGCAGCGTTTCTAGTCTGGTCAGCAAGTCAATATATTTAGAATCTTCATCACGTAGCTCACATATAAATATTACATGCTCATTTGCAATAATGTGGTCAGGACACTTACAGGCCACAGTGAACACAGCAGGAGCTCATGTGCAACATTACAAGCTGCACTGGATATAAAATAAACAGTTACAGATAAACACTAAATTCAGATAGACATGAGTTTATCTGCAATGTAATGCGATCATATCAAAAATAACACCCAATATTAATATTTATCACATACCTTGCGAGGATGGAGCGATGTTGCTGAAAGCTACAGCGCAGGTACAGATGATCCAGACTGCAAGAGCCATGTTGGAGGCTGAGCAGGGGGCAGGGCTAGAGCGTAGTGGCTGTAAGCAGGCACAGGTGAGTGGGGTGGCACTTCCTCAGCTTACACCCTCCCTGAGGGTGACCCTGTAGACAGAGGGGGAGAGAACAGAGGCACGTTATATCTCTGCCGAATAAAAACAAAGTCTATAAAGAGAAATTATGTTGTGCTCCTTTCAGTGTGGCATTTAAATTAGACTATGTTGATTAATTTATTCAGCTTTTATTGCAGGAATATAACTGAGCTGTTCATGGCTGGTATAGCATCAGGAGAGGAGGGGAGAGGAGAGGAGAGGAGAGGAGAGGAGAGGAGAGGAGAGGAGAGGAGAGGAGAGGAGAGGAGAGGAGAGGCTCCCCCTGTGGTGGTCAGGTAGAATGATCAGACCTGGAGATCTGAGGCCATTTTGTGCAGGATGGCATGGCAACAGCTGTTGCCACCATCAGCTCATCACTCTACAGTGTTTGAACGCTTGATTGATCCAGACACGCTACATATGTTTTGGGGCTGTTAACAGAGCAATATTAAAAAAAATCGTATCCCTGTTTATGTGTGTGTGTTTGCGTACGGGCACGCACGCGCACACACACACACACACACAGCGAGATGTGAAAAGCAGTCAGCATTGCCGTAGGGCTCACACTTCTCATTTGCCTAATGAAATAAATCACTATGTGGAACTTCAGCTCAGATTTTTTGACAGTGAAGCCTGATCCTTCCCTCCAGGGGCAGAGAGACAGACAACAGTGGAGATGCTGTTGTTAGTGCGAGTACTTCTCCTGGTGAGTTTGATGAAACAGACAGAGTGGATTTTAAATGTATTTGCGTGTGTGTTTGTTTTTCGATGTTTTTTTGATGTGGGTATTGAGAGGATTTCCTCTGATCTCTTTAACCGTCTACCTCCTTTATTTGATTGATCTACCAACTTAAATTGTAGAAGGGCATAATGTAAAAGATTAAGCATTCATGCACTTCCTCTAGCTCACTCTAGCTCACACACACACACTAAGCTACTCTGCAGTGCTTGTGTTAGGTGGACCTCCTTACAGAAGTTTGGTTTCCATTTCATAGTTACAGTGGGGTTCAGCCTTGAGAGGTAAAATTCCTCAAAATTCTACATTTTAACTTGGTTAAAGCATTTTTCCATACGACCATAGAATAATATTTGATGTTCTTAGGATGTGTGGAAAATAAGCTATTTGGGGTTTGTAATCTTTAAAAAAGTCAGCTACTTAGAATGATATTGTTAAACTGGCAAGAACTCTGTTTATGTTTCCATTTTTTAAATGTTTTCATCCTCGCATTTTAACTCTGGAACACACAAGACAACATGCAGGCATGGCCAAGCTCTCTTATCCCGACAGCCAAGATGGCAGCAACTGAGTGACTGGGTAGCTTTACCCCCCTCTCGTCGTCAACACCGATTTGGCTTCTCCTCCACCTCTCCAACCCCTCCCTCTCCCTGACCTTCTCTGATATTTACCCTCCTCCCCAGTGGCAACGCCCGGCCCGCAGCCACCGACCTGCCTGGGTGTCTCTGTGTGGATTAGTATGTTGGATGACGTCGAGCAAGAGCGAGAGTGAGAGTGAGAGTGAGAGGGGAAAAAGGGAGGGAGAGAAAACGAAAGCAGACCGCAGAATAAAAAACAGCTCCACAGCAGCTGCACTTTACACCAGTGTTTATTTCTATCATATGCACAACCCACACTCACACACACACAACCTCTTCAATAGTGTCTTAATTTGAGTTTGTTTTCCACCACCCTCTATGACCAGCAGCTGAGAGAAAAGGACACGCTCGGAGGGGAGTCACAAGAGACAAAGAAGGAGTAGAAAAGCATTAAACAAATAGCAAAAGACGTGATGTGGTACTGTAGAGGCCTCGACTGCCCCGCTCTCTCTCACGGCCTAAACCAGCCCCCTAACCCACCCCCACCTCCCATCTCTTTGTATTATTAATGTTCAAAACGTGACCCCCTCCTGTGCAGTGACAGGTCTTTTGCTTTCTGTCTTTTCCTCCAACTTTTGTGGATTTAATAAGAAAAATCTGTCTTTGCTCTTGTTTCTTTTGACTCTGCTCCTGTCTGTTCTGCTCAACAATAGCTCTCCTGTGGTTTCAGAAGATGAGGACGGCCACGGAGGGAGAGCAGGAAAAAGAGGGAGGGAGGGCAGGTTGAGAGAGGAAAGGAGAGAAAAGTGCAGGGTGGATAAATTGATTTTATTTTGTGACAAAAAAGAAAGCTTGCATTACACAACACTCAATTGCAGTACCTAGGATGGGAGAAGAGAAGGAATGATGGATGGATGGATGGATGGATGGATGGATGCATGCCAAAGCAGAAGACAAGAAGAAACAAAGGAATTGAGGGGATGATGGAACAAAAAGAGACAAAGCATAATCCAATCCAAGTAGGAGCGGAGGAGGAAGGAACAAATGAAGTAAGGGAAGGATGATTTCCTGTATGACAAGAATAAATAAGAGAAAGTGGGAGGGTAAAGTGCTGAAAATAGCAGAGCGAGAAAAGCAAAGGAATAGTAAGAAAGCAGGAAGTAATGGCAGAGGAGAATGTATTTCTTCTGCCGTTGTCTATGAGTCAGTGAGCCTCTGGATAGTAGAAGGTTAAGGGTCTTTGGAGGGTGTGAGATGGGTGTCTTCGCCCTCTGCGCTCTCCCTGCTTGGAGGATGTTACACGCCCGAGGCCAGAGTCTGACCTTTTGCACTGATCTAATCCACCATTATTATTATCACTGTTTCTCTTCTAATAGAGCTGAACATCATATCCCTAAGAGACCAGAGCCCACAAAATGGGAGAACGGACTGCAATTTCACCGCACTGGTGGAAAGGTGACGCAGGCGAGCAGGAGAGAAAGTGCAAGACAGGGGCAAAGTTGTATTTACACAAGAGACAGACATGCAGCTGTCTGAGCGACACTTTAAGTATACAGCTCTGTCATCTTGCTACCCTCTGTTTCTCCAGCTATTAATTTACAGTCTGCCTTGATCCAAAGCAAATAACCTCATTATCCACCTCTATTGGATCATTACGATAATCACCACGATCATTAGGATCTGTTTGCTTTTGCAGACGCACTCATCAAGAACATGGTGTCACAAGTCCTTTTTTTATACGGGGTGGGGGGTGCTGTTAAAGGCTGTGCATGTCTGTCACAAGAACTATTCAAGTTTCCTCCATCATGCAAATCATTTCTGTGCAGAAGAAAGAGGCATTTAGGAACATTACCCGAGCATAATCAAAAGGCGGGAGAACAAAGAGTTTACGTTGACAGTTTTTGCCGCATAATTAAAAAAGCTGGTGCGACTCTCAGAGCTGGTGCGGATTCAGGCTTTTCCTCCCACTGAGGGGAATCTGATATCAAGGTGGGAAAGACATGTAAGTTGACTCAAGGTGTGCGTATATAGATGTGTGAGCTACTTAATGGTCAGAAAGCTGCAGATGCACATCACTGCCTGGACTAAAACTGCAGCTTTCAAAGTGGATTCGATACAAAATGTTTGCCTTAGATGCTTTGCGCTCACACAAAGTCAATCTGAGAACTTCTAAGAACTTAATTAGCATTTCACTACATTCGAAGATGAGGTATGTTGGATGAACAAGTGAATATGATGAAGGGAAATTGGGGATGTGGGGGGGGGGGGCATAGAGTGTGAAAACAGAAGCGCACAAATCCATTTGGTTGGAAAAACACTTATGATTGATTTAAAGATTTGACAGTAAATAAATTATGACGGCCAGCTTCTTCATGCAAAGAGAAGTCTTTGCATCTTAAAGATGAAGCACATGCATTTCCCATGCTGGTAGGATTGATGTTTGTACCTCAGATGCTTCAACAACAAATAGCTGCTTCAGTAGCGAAGGAAGGAAATGACTGGCTCCTTGCAACTGACAAGCGTGCAAAAGTGAATGGCAATCACATCTCACTTAGAAATCAGACAGTGATGTAAACTGCTGCGATAAATGTTTGTAATCAAGTAAAAGTTCAGTTCAAATGGCATCTACTTGTACCGGAATAAACTGCAAACAACCACATTGGTGCTTTCAGGATTTGGTGTCAGTCAGGTCTGAGACGGGCAACTTTATTCTAGAGGAGAATATCACTGGACTCAGTGAGGACTAGCCATGTAGTATTAGAGTTTGATGAGACTGCAGAGAATGAAAAAAACGTATGCTTTGCCTGGAGGCTTCTAAGTAATTCTCCCTCTGACTCATCGCTGCTGAAGCTTTGTCACACTCGATACTCTTTTGTACTCTCTTGAGTTAGGCAAGAGGGAGCAATACAAGGAAGTGTAACAATAATTGAGGATGAGATAGAATTCATTAATTACTTCTTCACCACCATAAAACTAATCACTCGCCAAAGTGAATATAATTATCTGACTTTTCCTTTCGAAACGTAACAGACATACCATGAAATATCATTTCCATCACCATCTGCGATCGAGCTTTGCTGAGTGGGAGACGACATTTTTACTGTCAAATCCACCTTCCAGGACGCTCAGGTACGACAGTTGAATTTGACTCGATGATTATTCAAATTAGCCACAGCGATCACTTGGACACGCTTCCACTAGCAGTGTGTGTGTCAAAACTGCCGATTGACAGAGCGTGTGGAATCAGATCGCTTGGTTTATGAGAAAGAGTTTGCTTCAGTCTGAAAACTAAAAGTGACAACAAGGAAAAGGCCTGGCACAACTGGACGCCATTGTCTATGCATTTCAAAACAACAGGAGCAATTTTCATATTGAATGCTGCAAAACCAAATAACTTCAGTTTGACAGAATTGTCCACAAATTGTACAATCCGACCTCTGTATGCACGACAGCTGCCAAAACAAGATCAAACCAATGTCACTGTAGGAAAAAAAGTCAGCAGCTTGTATAAACCACTGCCCTCCCACCCCTCTTTATTGTTATCTTCCAGTTGTGCCTATCGCTAATCTCCCTAATCCCTTTTGGTTAGGCTATTGCTACCAAAGACAGGGTAATAGCATTAGATATTATTCCTTTGCAAAAACCTGACTCCATTGCATGCGCACCAATGCACAACACCCTGCACGGCCTTAGCGATAG